AAGAGCCTTTTAGATAATTTAGACCTCTCGGTTCACAATTTAATTTGATTAATTTGCCAAGAGAGGATAGAGAGATTCAAGTGAAGTGTTGAGGGAAGATTGAAATCCTAGGTTTTTTTTTTATATATATTAAATTTCCCTTGTGTGATCTTTTTAGTTGATTTTCTTTAATTTACATTTTGCTCTCTGTGAACTCATTATTTTCTTTTACTTATTATTCTATTTTATTGTTTAAATAAAGTTGAGTTGGTCTAATTTAATATTTAGCAAGTGTAGTAATAATTCTCCGTGGGAGCGATACTTTATCTCATCATTATATTACTTGTTATCGATACGTGCACTTGCGTTATAAAATTACCAATAAGTTTTTTGGAGCGATCTATGTCCATGGTCATGAAAACCGTCATAGCTTGTCAAAGAAACAAGAACCTCTAATCATGACGAATCTCCTGTTGGTTACCGAATCGAATTCGGATGCGGAAGCGTTGGGGAGGAGCGGATCAAGTATAAAGGGACGTTCCCCTCGTCGTCGGCGCTGTTTAGCCTTTCTCGCCCTTTCTAGCGATCTTTTCTGCAGTCGAGGGATCTTGTTGTGTCAACCCAGGCGGAGTCAACCGTCGACGCCTCATGGGGTCGTCGCCCTAATCATGGACTTCATCTTCGGGCTCTACAGCTGATCTTGAGGGAAACGAAGCGTCGAGGGTTGAGTGCTTGGCGAAAAGCAAGTATAGCCACGTGTCGTGGTGCCGTTGGTCCAGGTGTCCATCATATTTTCCCACACAACATTCTCGTTTTCTGCATATATGTTTACATATTCCTGGTACACAACGGGGGAAACCCCGTGAGTACGCAAAGAGAGAAAGGATCCAGGAACTTACCGGTGAAGAAGTATATCCGGGACGGTTTCGTAGTACACCACGGAGGACGGGAAGGACGAAGGCGGAAGTTCAGCAAATAGGGTTCCGGCAAAGTACGAATGTCCTGGCAAAACAGCAGCAAAAAATTTTGAAGTTTCGAAGAAGGAAAAAATGACCCTCGGGTTCATGGAGAGTATTTAAAGGAGTCGGGAATGAAGACCCCCAACCGTCGGATGAAAACCCCAAAAGACCAACGGCCAGGGATCACTCTCCGAATCTGACGGTAAGGGGAAGGGCGGAAAATTGAAAAGACGCGGATCCGACGGCCTATACTCGTTTTCTTGAAACACGGATGCTCATCATTATGCCAGACCAATCG